GCAGTATTTGTCTTCTTTCGGTTCTAACGAATTGGATAAAGGGGACCCAATGTTTCAAGGAATGTGATTTGTCCATAGAGTTGCCTGGAAACGCTGGCTGAATGTTCACAGGGTGTTTTTCATAATTTCTAATATGTTACGGAACCGCTATTCACAGAGCGTCTTGTGGCGATTGGGACACAAAACAAGCCAAAAGTCGATTCAGTTCAAGAAATTGTTCTCACAGAGAAGGCGGTAAACATCCTACAGAACATATTCAAAGGGAGTTGAATATTTTCTACAATCAATTTCGTACGGGACCTAGCAAGGCGAACTTCGATGGTCGCTGACGTGAGGTTGAGTAACAGGACGTTTATAGAAAGCCCAAGTTAGGTAGCTAACATCCCATCCCTAACGAGCAAACCTTTCCGGTGCCATTTGCCGCTAGGACATTATGTCGGTCTGTTAGTCTCATCGCTTTGCTCAAAATTGACCGATCGCACTTTCCAAGCAAGACAGATGAAGGATAAAACCAAAAATACGTTAAACGAGAAACAGCTTGAGCGAAGTGATGGAGAAGAACAGATACGAATGCAAACCCGTCTTAGGCAGAAATCATACGCACAGCGAGGACGATGCCAAACTGAAATCTCACTCGCATTGTTCGCACGCAAAGAAACACTACGAAAGTGAGTGTCAAAACCCAGACAACCGTAAGAAGTAAATCGGACAAATTTCAGTTATAAGATCAATCGTAAAGATTGTGACAACTGATATATCTATCAAACTGCAAATCGATATGCGCGAACACGAACTCGCTCATTATAAGCTCATCAAATCCGCGCCAGACGATGGTTTCCCGTTCAGAAATAAGTGATTTGCAAACAAGTTGAAGTTGATCAGTCCTCTGTAGCGATACGGTGCAAAGGTAAATTAGCGCAAAATAATTGGAGCTAAATTGTAATGCATGGCAGTAGCCCAACACCGGACTGATTAACCGATGCCGAAAAATCAGAAATGCCGAATTTACCACTCTTTATTGAGCCAATGCAATGGAAGTCAGGAAAATCCATGTAACGCTGGATGATAAGTTGACCCGAAGGAAAAAAAACAGATATTCTTAAATTCCTGTCGAGTCACATTTTGAACGTCCCGTCCGTTGGGACGAGTACGTTTTGCGATCTGCCAAGCCATAGAGCACTTGAACACCACAGTGCTAATGGTTATTTCTGCTCTAGAGCACACCAACGATTGCCTAATATTCCCGTGTGAGCCGTTTCATGTTTCCCCCTACTGCATCGTTTCAGTGGTTTCCATCAACACAGTTGTACATGGAGCAGAAACAGTTCGGCAAAGGAAACCTGTGACTTCCTTCCTCTTCTAGACTATTAGGAAAAAAACAACGGACAACTGATGATACTGATGTTTTCTCATGTCATAAAAGCGAACATATGTACACCGGTACACTGCACATCAACTACGTTCCTCTTTGTAATTCTACCATGCGCTTTTTCTTCACTTTGTTCTTCTGATTGTTCTCCGGGCTCGTGGTTGCAGACAGATCTTCCACTCGCTCAACAAGGCCCGACACCCAGTCCGGTAGGAGCCGTACAAGACGAGGTAACTTGTGAGTCACAACCATTTGTGAACCGTCGGCGGATGGCTTGTGCACAACCAGACCGTCGAGTACGTCACGAGCAAATATCCGTTTTGCTCCTTCGTGTTCAGAATCGATAACAGTGGGACGCCGTCGCAAACCAATCCAGTTGCCACCGTGTCGATCCCAAAAGACCTCGAAGTAACGGCTAAGATGAACCTAAGAAGTAAAGGCAAAACAACCGCAGCGACATACATGGAGAAAATTTCGATCGAAGAGATAAAAAAAACGTCGAAAAGAATTCGATCCTGCTTATATACCAAATCGACACACTTGCAGAGGCGGTTTGTATAAAAATATCAAAAATGTCCGAACATACCTGTACCAGGCGTGCCACCCACTGCAGTGGATCGTAACAATAGCTTGAAGGCCAAAATCGAGCACCAGGAGGAGGAATCTCGGTGGGAAGAGCGTCTTCTGCTTCTTGACCGCTAAATATGGGCTTGGTTGTAGTAGTTTGAAATCCTCCGGCATAACCTGTCTGACCTGCATCATAATCAATGGACTCTGCGCCATGTACCTCGATTATTTCGGGTTTCAGGGTCATTAAAAGATCCATGTTACGCAGTGTCGGACGAAACACATTCTATGGAGGAACACAGATATACCGCTGGAAAAGTTATCATTTACGAGTGCTGTGTTGAAATAAGCAGAAAGATACATGCATGAGAAACGATTGGAATATTGACAAATAGGTCGGAAACCTCTGATTCGGTACAACAACGTCACTTGGTCAA